CCGGGGAAGGCAGCAGTCGGCGGCAGGCAGCTGGGGCAGCGTGGGAACCTCGCCTTCCTTTTTTGTGAACCCTCACTTCTTACTCCCACTCCACACCGTGATGATGCGAAGGCCTAGAGCTCTCGAAAGGGAGGGGAGAAACCCGGAATCTGGATGTAACATACTTAAATACATATACATGCATATATATATACACACTCATATAGAATCATAGAATCCTAGAATCGTTTAGGTTGGAAAAGACCTTTAAGATCACCAAGTCCAACCATTAGCGTAATGCTGTCAAGTCCATCACTAAAGTCTGTCCGTATGCGACACACCTACACGTCTTTTAAATGCCTCCAGGGGTGGTGACTCCACCACTTCCCTGGGTAGCCTGTTCCGGTGCTTTATAACCTTTTCAGTGGAGAAATTTTTTCCTAATATCCAATCTAAAGCTTCCTTGGTGCAACTTGAGGCCATTTCTTCTTGTCCTATGTGTGTAAAATAAATATACAAAAATATAATTTTTTAAGATAAGCTTGATTCTAGAGTCAGGGGTTTACAGTTTTGGAACACCTTGCATTATCAATATCCTGGTTCCTTTTACAAAGGTGTCTTAGGCATATGCTTTAAAAAGTAGCTAATGCAGATGCATTGAAGGACAAAAATGTACAATTTCTCAGTAATTTGAGGTCCATTCTCTTCCTTACAGCAGGAGCATCAATTACAGCCTCAGCCTGCATTAAAGCTTCCATTGCTCTTCCCATTCTCAGTCTCTCTTTTGAGTGATGTCTTTTTTATACTTCTGTTTATTGGGTTTAAATTCTCAAAACATAGCCTCTGCTTGGAAATTGGTTTGTTTTTCTTTTTTAGCTTGAACCATCAGCTCAGCTGTTTGCAAGCCCAGAGAGAATGGAAAACAAAATTCTTTCTTCATTCAAAAGAAAAAACAACTCTTGTGACCCCTTTTAGGAAATGCCAGCACATCGACATGGCGCTGGTGAGAGCGCTGAAGCGTGGGGTGGGAATAACCTCGCTGAGTTTTGGAGCATTCCTGGGAAAGCTGGGGTTTAATCAGGCCAAGCATGGTGCTTTTTTGCAGACACGCTGGGTTTCTGGAACAGTGCACTGTTCTTCCATCATGGCATACTGTTCCCAGTCACGGAGGCCGTGCTCATTACACGGGGAGGTTGTCGAGTTGTGCAGTGCAGTGAATTGAAAGGCTGCAGGAGAGGAATAATTTATGGCAAACAGAGAACATGGACATTATTTGGAGGAATATTCTCTCAGGCAGAGGGCCCAAGACAAGCCCTCATGGCGAACACACGTCTTTATCTACTGTTTAAATGCAGTCCTGTCATGCTTCAGACATTGAATGCCTGAATATGCCTGCTACTTCATGCTCTTGGCAGCTGGGGACATATGGCAGCAGCCTCCTATCTGACTCTAAGAAATTAAATCCTGCAGCGGGAGGCTGACCGTGGTGGCACAAGACACCAGTTATTATGTTCCTGTTGCTGCTTCACCCAGCAAGAAGCCACAGTCCCTGCCGCAGCTTGGCAGAAGTCTCTGTGCTACCCTGGGGGAAGGAGGTGTCTCAGCACTTTCGTTCTGTGTTTGCAGATTGCCTTGCTGCTTTGCATGACTGTAGTGCTGCAAGAGCAGCCCCTGAGGAGCTCTGAATGCCTGCAGGCACCGAAGGCAAGGCGCCTGGTGCTCTGTGATCAGTGCTTACCAAGGCCCCTGAGGCGTAAGCCTCCAGCACTCACACACTTGTTGCTGCCCGAGCTGCACAGGCAGCACCATCTCAGTCCTCGCTCTGTGGTGGGCTGCGAGATGCAGTTGTCCCATACGAAGGGCAGGACCTCCAGCCCCAGGTACAGGGCAGAAAGAGGCAGGAGCTTGCAGAGAGGAGTTGGTTTTGAAAGGCTGACGTCTCCTCTGACAGAAGCCATGAGGCAGAATGTGGGCAGTGGAAGCCCAGGGCAGAGGTCAAGGAAAGGGGAAAAAGGTGGAAGTTGGGGGACCTTAAAAGTAGTGAGGATCCTGTCAAAGAGGCCTCTGTTTTATGGTGCTGTAACTCAATATTTTTGTCTTGGTTCCTAAGGAAAAATATTCATGCCATTTGAGGGCCAAGGGGCACATACTGACCACTCATCCTTAAATTCCGTTGATTTTAGACACAGAGAGGCAGAGACCTCAAGGGTATCAACTCTGGGGAAGAAAGCAAGACAAAGAGACTATGCCTACATCCTCCCTGGAAACAGATTGCCCCTTGAGCCCAAACCCTGATGGACCACAGAGGACCTGCACCAGTGCTGCTCTCCGAGACCTGGCTTCCTCCGCTCCATCATGCGGGCAGTGCCTCTCTTGGTCTTTGCTGACTAAAACAAACTGATGTTCCCACTCACCAACACTTTTTTCTCTTCCACCCACATTGCTGTTTTCCTTCCCCTGCAGCATTTCCTTTTCTCCCACTCCAGGGCTCCTATGATCTCCTCCACCTCCCTCCCTTGCTTCACATCTCCCTTTTCAGACACAGACTGAATTCCTTTTGCTCTCTCTGTGACCTGTCATCTAACCTCTCTGTGTGCCGGTCACAGCCCCATCATCTTTTGGAATAGGAGCTGCCTTTGGAAGGTGTTTATGGCACATCCAGCCACACACTTTTATTAGGGTAGGATAGGGCTCACAGCTGGAGGAGGGGAGACGCTGTGAACACACCTGGAAGAATCCAATGACTGCCACCTCCGCACCACTGATGAAGGCTTCAGTGTCTGTGATGTTGTTCAACAGGACAGGTTTCTCTGTGGTGCTGGCTGTGCCTGAAGAGAGGTCACGGTGAACAGAGGGTACAAAAAGAGCAGCTCAGAGAGGCTCACTGCAATGTGCACACAAACGTCTCACACCTAACTACACAGACACAGACACACACATACACTCCTCTCCCATAATCTCGACACAACACAGCACATCCTGGGTAAAGAGGACTCCCCATGACAGACCCAGCCTTTCCCTGAGCCAGAAGGAAATCTCACTTACTGTGGGATGCAGAGCCATTGTCTCCAGCACATCCTCCTGGGAAGCCCCTGGTCAGCAGCATAACAAAGAGGCAGGGGAAGACAAAAGTGCCCATGGTGCCAGCTTGCCCTCTCCTTGCTACACCACCCTGCTCCAGTCCTCTCCTCAGCAAGAGACACGTCAGCTGCCGCAGGGGCCCATTGGAGCAGTGGGAATGGAGCAGCTGTCCCAGAGCGAAGTCTTCAGCTCCTGAGATAACCACCTGGCTGGGAGAGAGCCCCTCCCTGCGCTGTGGGCACCAGCCTTGGAGAACTTCATCGACACTGCAACCAGTGCATCCTCACCCACAGCACTGGGCATCCTGGCTACTCCGCACCTGTGCGAGCAGAAACCCAGCTAGGTAAGAGCATCTCTCCATGCAGTAGGAGACACTGCACTTCCCCAAGTGCTGGGTCCCAGAGGCTGATGTTCCCTTGTGCTTGGCCAGCAGGACAGTGGCCAGGACATGCAAGTATTGGCATTAGTTCTGGCTGTGGGGAACAGCTGCCATGGTAAGCATGAGAAAGCTATGGTACAGCTCCCTGGGCTCACTCAATTGCCACCTGGGATGTGAGGTGGGGGGCTGTCCACCCGCATCACAGGCCAGACTTAAGGCTTCAAAGAAAGATTCATGAAAACCCTGAAGGAAGAAACTCTGAGAAAAATTGTCTTTAGAGTTAAGATGATATTTTGAAAGAGGAAAGCTATTTCCTTGCCGAAACATGCTCTTAAGCCTTCCTGTAATGCATTCTCTGTATACATATCACTGAAAAACATACTCTAGAAACAAATCTGACACTCATGCAGAAAAGAAGAAAGAAACTGGTTTTATTCTTGGGACACTGAAGTCTTGTTACAGCATCCTAGCTGCATTCCCCCGACTGGTTTTGCCTGCACAAGGATGGATTTTTAACAGGGTAGGGCACCAGATACAGACCAGGAGACCATCACGGGAGGTAAGTAACCATTTACAATGACTCAGAGTACATGGCAAGTATAACTCAGATAGGGACTTTCCAGGGACCAGTCTGCCCTGCCAGGTGATCTTGTTTCCTAGAAAAGGCACTTCCGGGACCGGAATTGGTACAGAAGAGATGGACGTGGACACAGCAGGAGAAAGTACTGGGAGAGAGGGAGGGAGATGCTTCCCAATTTAACCCATTATATGTCATGATGGGGCGGTGTTGAAAACAGGCAGGTTATTTTCAGTGTATCAGAAGAAGCAGCCAAGGCCACCTGCAGGCCTGTGCATCAACCGGGGCTCGCGCAGAGCCTCGGCACCCACGGGAAGGGCTGCCAGGGCTGTGGCTGGCCACGGTGGCAGGAAGGAGCAGCATGGTGGGCATGGCCCACCTGGATACTGGTGCAGGAGGCAAAGGCGGGGGAAGGGGGAAGGCAAACTGGGTGAACTCATTCTGTCCATTCCTTCTTGATGGACAGGTTCCACTCCCAGGTGAGATGGTCATGCTTGTCATCATCCGTGAAGAAGGACTTGTTGTGATAGGTGCCTCGAGCCAGCATACCCTTAGGAGCCTCCTCAATAGGCGTCAGGAACTCGTATTCTTCTGGCCGTGGCCCGTAGCTGCCAACCATGAATGTGGCTTTGTCCACTAGGAGAAAACAATACACAAGGATGAGCCCCTCAGGTAGGCAATGATAAAGGAGAGAAGCCAGGAGCAAGAACACAGATCATAGACAGAAAGGAGACAGTGGGAAGAAAAAGAGAGAGTCCATGTCAGCAAGGGGAACAGAGTCAGTGGAAAAAATGTGTTAGTGAAGCACAAGGACACCTGGAAGGATAAATGGATGGAGAGGCAGATGGACGAGCAACTCAGTCTATAACTTCTCACATGTCTGTGCTGCCGGAAGGAAGTGGGTACACCCAGCATATGGCTCAAGATCTCTTTTGAGCCCCCACTACTTCTCTTTTCTGGTGAAAAGACACCACTTACATGTGCTGAACGGGATGCAGGGTCCTGAGAGGTGGTTGCATGCAAAAATGTGTTTGTGGGATGTGTGTGTGCAAAACGGGGCTCTCCTCTTCCTTGTCCAGGCAGAGCAGCACTGCTCAAAGAGGACAGGGCATGGGCAAACGCAGGGCTCCACACACAGCGGGAATCTTTGTAGGGCAGGTCTGAATTTTTACCAAGTGCATCTGTGAGAACTTTCAGAAGGTGGGAAGCTCCACC